CCCTGTGCTGTTAAGGTTTTTACTGTTATTATTTGTTCTAAACCATTTTGTATTGTAACCAGCATTCTTTGTTCTCTAACGACCATCTGCATCGTTAAACGACCCACCGGCGGGTCGCGTGGCGGGAACCGACCTTATATATTGGACCCACCAACTGACGGAGTTAGTTCAGTCCTCTTGTCATACAGTCCACATCCTTTGAGTGACACTCGTCACCTGTTACTTATACTTAATTTATTTCTGTTGTTCCTGTCGCCACCAATGTGGTATATCTATGTGAGCACCTATTTATGTCTCTATTTGTGTCCATCAATATTTGCTTAGTTACATTTAAGTAATTCAGTGTTGTTTCACGTTAGTTAATTTCAGTGTTAGTTTTTATATGCTTATGCAGTGTTAACGTAATCCAATGCTTTATTATTATTCTTTTGATGTCTCGATGTTAGTATCATTTGTGTCTTAAAAGTTTCGATGGTGAATCAATTTGTTGTGATAGCCTACGAGGCTTTTTATTGTGTTAATATTTAATTAAATTCTTAAAGGTTTACTTTATTTATTTTTATTCCCTTTAAATTTACTTCACCTTTTTTGTTTGGTTACGCCTAGAACCTGGATATTTAAGTAAATTAAGAGACGGCGTAACTATATATATATATATATATATGTATATTTATATATATATATATATATATATATATATATATTTATATATATATATTTATATATATATATTTATATATATATATTTATATATATATATTTATATATTTATATATATATATATATATATATATATATATATATATATATATATATATATATATATATATATATATTTATATATTTATATATATATTTATATATTTATATATATATTTATATATTGATATATATATATTTATATATTGATATATATATATTTATATATTTATATATATATATATTTATATATTTATATATATATATATTTATATATATTTATATATATATATATTTATATATTTATATATATATATATTTATATATATTTATATATATATACTTATATATTTATATATATATATTTATATATATATATATTTATATATATATATATATATATATGATGATAACCACATGGAAAGAAGAAACACAGAAGTTCCTAAGCGCTTTCATTGTAATTCACATCTTCAAGGGTAGTACAGACTGCGCACCTACAGTGATTTATATATATATATATATATATATATATATATATATATATATATATATATATATATATATATATATATATATATATATATATATATGTAATGCGACATAAACACAATGAGAGGAAGAATATAAATAAGTAAGACTAGAGAGTAGAGATGTAAAGATAGGAAACTTGGTAGCGTGGCCTGGATGTTATTTGCACAGCGTCACTACGCTTATCTTATCTCGTATGTCAATACACATATCACTTCTTAAAGGGACAACTTGTTAAACACCTCTTGATACAACTATTTATTACTTCACTCAATGACATGGACACATTAATATCACTATTATATCGGGGTACTAACACATCATGCTTTACGTTACTTGACACTGACTCTCGGACACACCTGAGTGAATACACTTCCCACAGTAGGTAACTCACCCTAGGACGTTCTGACAAGACTCACGTGTACCCTGACGTAGGCCCAGTGAGTGCTGGCTGGGCTGCCTCCTATGAGAGGCTTCTGCTTAGCTGGGGTCTGGTCGGGAAGTCCCCTTCCCGACCTGGGGAGAGGGTGAGCTTGACTCTGAGAATCTCCAGAGTAATGAGCGTCTCCTCAGAATGTTCAAATGACAACCAGGATCAGAATGATATCAGAATGGTAATGGAATATTGAATGCCCGTGGACGGGACTGTAGGGCCTTTATATGGGGTCGGCCCAGCCGGCTTCTGACCTCTAACAATTAACACTAAACTGGTTTGATCTGGATAATTGTGTGCAGGTGTGGTCCTGGCCAGGTGTCTTGGCTAGGTGCGGTTGTAGGTCACCGGCTCACGTCATTAGGGTCGACCTGAGGTGTGTCAACCTGGAATGTGGTGGTACCACGAGGTCTGTGGTGTACTTGTTGTTATATGTGACATAATTCTGGGCTGTAAGCTTTGGTCTGACAATCAGTCATTACACCTCCCGCCAAGACCAAAGCTTCATCACAGAGACTGATGTCACATATAGACAGCAACATCACGTGTGGTATCAAAGATAATCCCTGGGGCGCTAACATAGTCTCATATTTACAAACACCGATCTCATAGGTGTATGTTTTTCTACTGGCGCTAGTTTGATCTGACAAAGCTCACTATATTTATATATATATATATTTATATATATATTTATATTTATATATTTATATATATATATTTATATTTATATATATTTATATTTATATATATATATATATTTATATATATATATATATATATATATATATATATATATATATATATATATATATATATATATATATATTTATATAGATGATAACCACAAGGAAAGAAGAAAACACGAAGTTCCCAAGCGCTTTCGTGTAATTCACATCTTCAAGGGTGAGTACAGACTGCGCACCTACAGTGATTTACTGTGTATATATATATATATATATATATATATATATATATATATATATATATATATATATATATATATATATCTATGCCTATTTTACATAGGCAGCCACCCATGTAAAAGACTAATACATCAAACCAGAGTGACTTTTTAATGATATATAATGATCAAGACTGATTAATTCACAACAAAATCAAACCTTTAAGTATTCTCACTTCAATACTGCACCTAAAATATTGACAGAGGAATCAAACGCCATGGTGAAACACACTAATATGCAGAATATCAAACACACTGATTATTGTTAACATATTAATGAGAGGAACATGATAATATGATTCTTTACTAAACTGTGGCTTTGTTAGCTTTAAATTTCTAGACCCTGTGCAGATTTGAGTCCTATGGCTATCTGGGTTTACGACCGATACTGGAGGGCGCTGGACCAAGCATATTGCCAGAGAATATCAGCCAATGGAAGCTAATTTCCCTACCCGGGCTCAACCAATTAGCGATAAGTAGCCTAGCATAGTGCAGCCAATCAACGTTCAGCACATTTTAGGGTTTTGTGTGTGATTGATTTTGCCGCTTACAGCGGCTACTTTATTGTGCACTCCACACTCATCCTGTGAGCGGTAGCGCAAAAGGATTACAGAGTAGAGTTTACAAAGGGTCATAATAATTAACCCCCGTTGTCAGGATATTTTGGCACTGAATGTTACACAGTATTTCATTTACATTATTTGTTTAGTTCTATACATAAAGGGTAAATTATTCACAAATGCGTGAGTACAGGCGTGTGAGGCAGTATGTCTGGCCTCACACTTTGTTATTCACATTTACGTGAGAGGTATTCAAGCACATTGTGTATTTGGTTCTGTACATGAGAATTGATATAGTTACTAAGTGCAAAAAAGTGGATACAATCTTAATATGTCGGCTATCTTGCCATTAGAGATGAAGTGTTGTGCCATTTCACTCAGTGTGCTTGGACCTGTCCCTAAAAGGTTCTATCTTCACACAGTCGAGGACGTAGTGTTCAAGTGTGTGGCCATATGTATGGCCACACACTTTACATTTAGTTTTGTTTACATCTGCTTGAGGAACATACTGCCAAAGGTACTTATATCCTAACCTTAATCTAGCGGTTACAACATCTTGTAATCTAGTGATCTTGTTACTTGCTCCATATAAATGTTTCACTTGATACATCTCATCATGGTAACTTATGGATCGACTAGTGCCTGTTTGCACTGTGTGTGTGTGTGTGCAACAGTGCTTAAATTTACTAGTACATTGTTGCTATTCACCTTAACTCACACACACGCACAACCTGACCCCAACCAACAATAACAAACACAAATGTTGACAAAAAAATAATAACAACGGCCCCAGCACTACTCGTTCAGTCTCCACCACACTAAACCTTCACTCCGCCTGGCAACTTTCCGCTTAGTGGGTGGACGAGGCAAAGGAGGGGTTTTGGGGGGGGGGGATTGCCGCCTAGTGATTTACAGGGGTGTTTCCTCTTGCTGGAAACGACTATAATTTTTCTCAGACTGTTTTTTTTTTGGTGGGGGGGGGGTGTCTCTTTGCTGTCTGTGTCACCAGCTGATGGCCAGACTGCATCCAATGAGTATTTTTGATTCTTGAATGTTAAAGAGAGAGAGAGAGAGGGAGAGAGATATGTTTACAACGATCGATAATTGTCAAGGGTTGCATCTATTCTTCACAACTCAACGAACCGTGATGAATGGTGTTGCGTAACATGACGGATGTTTAGGGAAGGTGTGACGCATGATGGATGTAAGGGGAAGATGTGATGCAGCGTGACGAATGTAAGGGAATGGTGTGACACAACGTGGTGGATTTAGAAGGAAGGTGTGACTCAACATAACGAATGGTCTGACGCAACATGACAAATATAGAGGGGAAGAGTGACGCAACGTGACGGATGTTGTAGGAAGGTGCTGACGCAATTTGATCAATGTAGAGGAAAGGTGTGACGCAACGTGACGTGGAGAGGGTTACGGAAAGGGACAAAAAACAACAACTCAGAAAGGTTTGCAATACCTCATGCAACAACAGGACATTGATCGCTCATGCCTGTAATATTGTCGAACCCTGGGCGTCGAGTTTGTGGTTGAAGGGTTTTCCTCCTATCAACAGCACACTCCATCTAACTGTACAGAGGTCGGGGTACAGGGGTAAATTACCCCAAATGGGGTAAATCTAAAAGTTTTGGGGGTAATGCATGCGGTATGAGAGACACTTCCATCAGCACCTCAGTTTACTCGAGTTTACTCTGCATTGTTAAAAAACGTTTTCTTTGGCATGGTGAGTGACGTCTTGGTGACATCAAGGAGTCAGTTACAAGGCACCTGACCAAACTCAAACAAAGGTTCTCTGATTACTTTCCAGAGCTTGATTCACATACTGTCAGTTGGGTTGTGAATCCCTTTAACTGTAAACTTGTAGATGTGCCTGAAGAGCCTGAAGGATTGGCAGAGGCGCTTCTTGAACTTCGCTCCAACAGTGAAGCACGCATGGAATTTCAGAACAAGGCAGATCTCTCGTCTTTTTGGATATCAAGAGCTGCAAAGGCTTTTAAAATTGCACATGTGGAAGCGACTAAAATGCTGCTGCCTTTTGCAACAACCTACCTTTGTGAACAAGGATTTTCTACCATTGTGAAATTGAAAACAAAGTATAGAAATCGCTTGGACCCTGAAGACAGCATCCAAGTTGCTGTGACATCAAAAATCTCTGATTTTGATGCTGTTGTATCAAAAATGAAACCGCATCATTTTTCCAAAATATAGTGGAGATGAATTGAATGAAATTCTTCAGTTCTCCAATCCTTTTTATTAATTTTGTTTGTGTGCTATTCTTATGCCAGAATGTGTGGCCTTTTTTATTTCTCCATGAAAATGGATCCAATAAACATTATTTTTAATTTGAATTTTTTGTATATATACATACCATATCCAACAATTTTAGAAGCAAATTGGCTTGTTTTTGTTTAGTGCACTAGTGTACTTTGAAGTTTGGGGGTAATTTCATTTTACTCAAAATTTTTTTGGACTAATACCCAAAAAAGTTCCCCGACCCTTCTAACAGGCTTAGCCCAGAAAATGAAGGTTTCTGACGTCATAAACACCGATTTTCTGTTTTCTTTCCTGCTTCCGAGACCAACGCGCGACTAATCCAGGCAAGAGTTTGGTGGTGAGTGGGAAGAGGTGGGAGGTATTCTGGTGTAGTTTGCGCCGAGTTGGACTCCAGTTATGTTATTCTTCTTAGGCTGGGGCGACTCTTTCTCGGTTTTTAGGTGACCGATAAATAAACTGTAGGTTAATTTGTAAAGTGTGTTATTTTATTAAATGTAACAGCAACAACAACAACAATAATAATAATAACCATCATTCACAATGTGGACAAAGTTCTAAAGGCAACACACACACGGGAGACCTTATTTCAATTCTGACCACAAGATACTTGTAGAAACGCTTTTCAACATTGCTCCCAGGAGAATAAGAGACCCCTAAATGATGGTGAGATGAGAGTGACTCATTATGAATCTTAAGTGTTCTACAGTGAAGAGTGTTTGGATGGGACACATTATATAGGGTGTAGTGGGGAGCCCTCAACTTGGAAACATCAATGGCCACAGTGACTCGAAAACATCAATGGCCATAGTAAAGGAGCCTTAACTTGGGAACATCAATGGCCACAATAATGGACCCTTAACCTGGAAACATCAATGACCACAGTGAAGGAGCCTTAACTTGGACACATCAATGGCCACTATAACTTGAAAACATCGATGGCCACAGTGAAGGAGCCTTAACTTGGACACAGCAATGGCCACTATAACTTGCAAACATCAATGGCCACAGTAAACAACCTTTAACTATGGATAGAGAGAATAAACAACCCAAGATTTATAAACAAACGTGAATGACAACTTCCCCTTAACATTGTCATACAGGTGAACGGGTGTGACAACAATACGGTTGGTTAAAGAAGTCTGATATAATAACCATAGAATATCTCATCTTCCCTCTCTGGTTCTCTGCGAATGAGGGAACCAGAAGAAAAGGAGAAAAAAAAATATAAACGTCTAATTTGAATCTTTTCATTGTTAATATGTATGTGAGAATCGGGAAAACTGGCAAATATAACAAAGGAATAGGTAATGCTTTTGTTTTTGTAAGAATTTCTGAGAGGTAGTGTGAAACCAACTCTATCTGGGAAGCTGATCATGATTGAAACAAATTCCTATCATTCTATGTGGTAAAATAGGAAAATAAAACATCTTTACGGGGACAAGTGTTTAGGATCCTATTATCGATTATCTCTGAGACGTAATCCAGGAAAACAAGACTTAAACCATAACGGAAAATAGTTAAGTTTTCTTGAATATGTATGTGACGCAATCAGGAAAAACAAATATTTCTGGGGAACAATCAATAATATTTTAATTAATCTGGAAATAATAACTATATCAGAATAGTAAATTACACTAAACATAATTAATGTTATGTAATGAGGAATATAAGGGTTACTTCTGTGCTCGTTTTTTTCCTAGGTGTGGTGAACCAGTGTAATCAACAACTACAGCACACGAGACGAGGTATAAAGTGTTAGTTGCTACAGACAAGAGGTTGTGGGGAATATAACTTTCGTTTCAACTCTCCCTTTCACTTTTTAAAACTTTATTTTTTTCTGTTGGGGGAGGGAGTGAGAGAGAAGACCGACCTGTTGGTGCTCCTCTTTCGTTTTGTTTTGTTTAGATTCAATATATATTCGTCTATGTATTCTTGAACAACACTTGAAAAAAAATGGGTCACGTATGAAAACATTAATTAGTAAGGTTAAAAATTTGTACTCAAGGGGTTATGTCATATCATTCAAGGGATTAAATCATCATATACAGTGAGTTAATTGATAGTTCTGAAAAGGTTGTCATAATACTCAAATACTTTAATAACATATATGAATTATATTGCATTTTGAAGAACTTGAAGGTCATAGTTTTCGACAATAGCGCATGACAGGCCAGTCATTACGTGAACAACATGACCGACATTGGAAAAGTGTGGATGAAATTTTGCATCAGATAGAATTTGACAGCAAGAGCAAATACGAATATATGTACAGTCGTGAACAGAAGTCCTCTCGCCCCTTGTGCTGTTCCGCGAACCAAGAGATTCAGACTCATGAACCCGAAGCAGTAGACACTGATGCATTATTCTGCCCATAAATGCTTCGGATTCATGAGTCTGAATCTCAGGGTTCGTGGAGCAGCAAAGGGGGTGACAGTGACAGTTCACGACTGTATATATATATATATATATATATATATATATATATATATATATATATATATATATATATATACATATATATATATATATATATATGTATATATATATATATATATATATATATATATATATATATATATATATATATATATATATATATATGATAAAATCACACGGAAAATGAAACAACGGCACCTTGCTTTCGTCTTTATTCAAGACATCTTCAGAGGCCTCTGAAGATGTCTTGAATAAAGATTATCACGTGTTTCATTGTGGATTTTATCATGATATATATATATATATATATATATATATATATATATATATATATATATATATATATATATATATATATATATATATATATATATATATATATATATATATATATATATATATATATATTGATATATGTGTGTAATATTCAGAAATGTCAGAGTAATTTCAAATGCCGCGCCATTGGCGATACTGAGCTTTCAAGGTCGTCTGAGGGAAGAGAGCTCTCCCAGCACATAGTGGGAGGTTGTGGAACTAGGCCTATATGATATTAAATATACTTTGCCGAATTAATAATGATGCGATTCATGAAGTTAAGGGACTATTAGTGAATTTGGAATTATTATAGATCGTTTATCAGTCTGAATAATGTTATGGGTGTCCCAAGGAGTTATTAGTTAGGCAGAAAATATGTCACGTAGGCCTAAGCTAGCGCCTTGGAGAGACGTGACGCTGGCTGGTCCTCAGTCACGTGAAAGCAAGGCTTGTGTAATTCACATCTTCAATATATAATATACCTACATTTATATTTGTATATATATATATATATATATATATATATATATATATATATATATATATATATATATATATATATATATGCATGCATGCCTATTTTACATAGGCAGCCACCCATGTAAAAGACTAATACATCAAACCAGAGTGACTTTTTAATGATATATAATGATCAAGACTGATTAATTCACAACAAAATCAAACCTTTAAGTATTCTCACTTCAATACTGCACCTAAAATATTGACAGAGGAATCAAACGCCATGGTGAAACACACTAATATGCAGAATATCAAACACACTGATTATTGTTAACATATTAATGAGAGGAACATGATAATATGATTCTTTACTAAACTGTGGCTTTGTTAGCTTTAAATTTCTAGACCCAGTGCAGATTTGAGTCCTATGGCTATCTGGGTTTACGACCGATACTGGAGGGCGCTGGACCAAGCATATTGCCAGAGAATATCAGCCAATGGAAGCTAATTTCCCTACCCGGGCTCAACCAATTAGCGATAAGTAGCCTAGCATAGTGCAGCCAATCAACGTTCAGCACATTTTAGGGTTTTGTGTGTGATTGATTTTGATTTTGCCGCTTACAGCGGCTACTTTATTGTGCACTCCACACTCATCCTGTGAGCGGTAGCGCAAAAGGATTACAGAGTAGAGTTTACAAAGGTTCATAATAATTAACCCCCGTTGTCAGGATATTTTGGCACTGAATGTTACACAGTATTTCATTTACATTATTTGTTTAGTTCTATACATAAAGGGTAAATTATTCACAAATGCGTGAGTACAGGCGTGTGAGGCAGTATGTCTGGCCTCACACTTTGTTATTCACATTTACGTGAGAGGTATTCAAGCACATTGTGTATTTGGTTCTGTACATGAGAATTGATATAGTTACTAAGTGCAAAAAAGTGGATACAATCTTAATATGTCGGCTATCTTGCCATTAGAGATAAAGTGTTGGGCCATTTCACTCAGTGTGCATGGACCTGTCCCTAAAAGGTTCTATCTTCACACAGTCGAGGACGTAGTGTTCAAGTGTGTGGCCATATGTATGGCCACACTCTTTACATTTAGTTTTGTTTACATCTGCTTGAGGAACATACTGCCAAAGGTACTTATATCCTAACCTTAATCTAGCGGTTACAACATCTTGTAATCTAGTAATCTTGTTACTTGCTCCATATAAATGTTTCACTTGATACATCTCATCATGGTAACTTATGGATCGACTAGTGCCTGTTTGCACTGTGTGTGTGTGTGTGCAACAGTGCTTAAATTTACTAGTACATTGTTGCTATTCACCTTAACTCACACACACGCACAACCTGACCCCAACCAACAATAACAAACACAAATGTTGACAAAAAAATAATAACAACGGCCCCAGCACTACTCGTTCAGTCTCCACCACACTAAACCTTCACTCCGCCTGGCAACTTTCCGCTTAGTGGGTGGACGAGGCAAAGGAGGGGTTTTGGGGGGGGGGGATTGCCGCCTAGTGATTTACAGGGGTGTTTCCTCTTGCTGGAAACGACTATAATTTTTCTCAGACTGTTTTTTTTTTGGTGGGGGGGGGGTGTCTCTTTGCTGTCTGTGTCACCAGCTGATGGCCAGACTGCATCCAATGAGTATTTTTGATTCTTGAATGTTAAAGAGAGAGAGAGAGAGGGAGAGAGATATGTTTACA